CTGCTACTGCTGCTGCTGCTGCTACTGCTCTTCCTCCTCCTCCTCCTTCTCCTCCTCGCATCCTTTATTATAATCTTTATTATAATCATTGTTTAAAAAGCATATTAGGTAGGGAGAGTGTTGATGATGATGATGATGAAAAGTGTGGTACTGGCGTTTTGGCTGGCCGTGAGTAGAGAAACGTGCGCCCATGTTGTGTCTCTTGCTATTGATTTCCTGGTCTAGATGCCCAAGGCTGTGAAGCCAGTAAGTAGCTCTTGGTGCTCCTGCCTCCTTCACTACATGCCAGTATATAGGCTAGATGTATCTCTGGACATAGACTTATGTATAGATATATACACTGTGTATCTTACCATAGACTTGTATATAGAATATAAACATAGACTGTGTATCTTACCATAGACTTATATATAGAATATAGATGTAGACTGTGTATCTTACCTTAGACTTATATATAGAATATAGATATAGACTGTGTATCTTACCATAATATATAGATATAGCCATAGTCTGTGTATCTTATAACCTTCGTACACTTATCTAACCAATAACGGTGGTGGTGAAGTTCATCCATGTGTTCCTATATAGCTATAATAATACATCATATCGTCGCTGTCATTCATCATTGTTGTATATGTAAGAAAACAAGATTTTCAGGGAAGCATAAATCTGTTTGAATTTGAACTGGACAAAATGTTTAATTCGTCAAAATCCTTCACTATTTTTAAAGAATAGGAATGAGACAAATAGACCAATAGATGCGCTTTATCAAGCTCTACAACCTACGACCCACTTGATTTTCATTTTTTGGAAATTTTTACACAATACAACCTTGAGTGACTATGATCATAGATATACGTACGTATATTATATATATACAGAGAGTTATACCCTTTCACTGCCAAACCTGCTATATACATTTAGAATCTCATTGACACGCTTGTACGATCTGGGGCAAGGCAGTGAATAGATTTACTAACCCACGGGTAGATAGTCAAGGGTAGTGCTAAAAGCACTCAAAGGGGCGATGAGATCATAATCATTTATTGTGCTTTTTCATTAATGAACGTTTGTTAAGTGCTGATTGTATTGAGTGATGTAATCCAAAGCTTAGCTGAGACGATAACCAGTGTTAAAAACACTAGGGTAGATAGAGCTCTAAAGGGCCATTCCATGAAACGTGAAACTGCAGTGACAAATGCAACGGGGAAAGAGATGACCTGCTGAAAAAATTCTAGACAGTGACAGAGCGGGGTTTAGTTTGTTTTTATTTGGGGGGGGGGAATTGCCTCTAACAACTACAACAACAACAACAACAATAGAATAAAGAATGGCTTTTTCATTGCTGAGAATTTTTTTTTCAGCAGGGTATCATCTCCGGCTCCGCATTAGATATGTCACTGTAGCTTTCTTTTTTGTCCTGGAATAGCCCTAAAACAAAAGGTTTGTTTATGAAGTTGTACTAAAATTGTATGTAATAACAATTGCGAAGCACATAACGCATACTGTAGAGCGTGGCTATACGCTATATATATATATATATATATATATAATATATAAAAATACAATTGTTATCATATATCATATCAACTGTTGTCGGAAACCACTAGGAGAAGCAGGTAGGTGGACCCAAGATGCCACTCTTTCCCTCCTTCGTTCTTTCCTTCCCCTTGTCCCTCCCTCTGCCATTCCGTCCGTGGAGAACACAAACAGCCGGACACTGCTGTACTGTTGCACCCTGGTCTGCCTCTCTCCTGTGTGCCACAAGTTTCCCTCTCCTGTTCTACCTGCTTGTAATCTACTGCTGGGACAATGCCATTAGCAGCAGCAATTTCGAGAAGTGACTAGAACGACATTTGCGACAGTGCAATAGTTTGGTCAATTTTAGTGTGTTTCATTTGCGGCAAAGTGGTTTTAACTCGAATCTTTGGCACATTTCATTTACAACAACAAAGTACGGATAAACATGTTTAAGGCATATCATAAGTTCGCCCCCGAGGCTTCCATTCACTGGTGGCTAGCAATATGAATGCATGTATATGTACTTCAAAACATGTACAACAATTTGAATGTGGATCACCGTAAAATGTTCCCCTCGTTTCTGAAGACTTCGAGGATTGAACTCATCACATGATAGAAGCCAAAATTTAAGGCTGCCAAGCTTGCAAACCGCCACAGTACGGCTATGGCTAAAAACTGCTGTCCTAATTAATTTGAGTTTGTTTTGTTTTGTTTGTTTGGGGGGTTTTGGGTTTTTTTTTGTGGTTGTTCTTTTTTTTTTTTTTTTTTTAGAGATCTCTCAAAGAGGCATGTCAATTCATAAATAAAATAATAATATTTAGATATCTAATATGCAATATCTACTGGTTGTCCCAAAAATTCTGCCTCAAAGTAGGTGTAATGTCTGTCCTTTCAAGCATGTTTTGCCACAAAGAAGATATAATTTATCTTTTATAATTGGATGGTTTTGCCACAAAGAAGATATAATTTATCTTTTATAATTGGATGGTTTTGCCACAAAGAAGATATAATTTATCTTTTCTAATTGGATGGTTTTGCTGCAAAGAAGATATAATTTATCTTTTCTAATTGGATGGTTTTGCTGCAAAGAAGATATAATTTATCTTTTCTAATTGGATGGTTTTGCTGCAA